AACGGAAACTTCTGATGATTACGTGCAAATATTTCAACTGCCTCCTTTACTTTAGGGAAAATAATTGAAGTTAATTTATCATCTTGTAATACAAAATGACAAACATACGCAATGTATGCAAACTTGTCTAAAATCTTACCCGAAGTATACATAGAATCTATATTTGCCATACCAACAACGTCCTGCTGAACTTCCTCTTCAGCCGCGCTTCTTATTATTTTTTTTGCATTCTCCGAATATGAAGCGTCCCCATTGAAAGAACCAAGAGATGACCATGGCTCCCAATTGATGTTGACTGGCAAATCTATTTCTTCCATAATCAATTCGTTAGTGGCATATGCTTTCATTACACCTTTGGTTGTTGAATCTAATTCCAATTTTGTATCTCTTTTCTTGATGTCGTTCGTCAACACTTCTTGATGGTGTGGTAGACACCAAACAATACCATTTCCTGACTTGGAATTACCTTTCATCCCATAGACAAACTTATACTGACATTTTTTGCCATCGCCTGAAGTGCATGACCCTTGTAGATGACAAGAATCAGCATAGATACCACAGCTGTTGTCGTAATGTGTTGATTCACCACGACAAATTTGAATCATAGCATTACTGGAAACTTTATTGGCAACAATATGATTAGGATCTTGCAAGTTTAGCTTTAGGCTGGCATCGCCAGCCACATATAACGACCACACAACTTGATTAAACAACGTTACTTTATATTTAGAAACGTTACCAATCAGGCCTAACTGCCTAAAGTCTTGGAAACCAACCTGGGAAGCAATTACAGGCTGAATATTGTTATAAATAGCAGTAACATATCCCATACCATGAACAAGTGGAACAGTGATATTTTTGTCAGCATCATTATCCAAAACTAGTTTAGATGTAACAGACAATTTGTTGTGGTTTTCCAATCTAACACTCACGTTATTATTTCTGAAGTTAGCTCCAGATATAACAAAAGACTTGATCTTGGGTGGGTTGAAATAAAACTGAGCCGGGTTAGAATCTGGATCGGGTCCAAATACTCTTTGTGACGCATCAGTGTGGTTGAAGGCAAAGCCTACATCCTGATCAGGATCCATGGTATACCAAAGAGAATATGGCAATGTCCATACTGGGAATGTTTGATCCCCCAATGTTAAGTTATTTGAAAAGTTATTAGTCTGGATTGGCTCATCCGATTCTCCACACGAACATCCCTGTGGTGGCTGGGCATGTTGAGCTGTTTTAAAAATTGATGGTGGTTCAGAAGTAGCAATAGGTTTAGCAAATATATCATCATCGGCTGCAAGTGGCACTTGTACATTGTTATGGCTAGGTTGATATGCTTTGTTTTGGCTAGGGTATGATTGCTGAGCTTTACCGGAACTTGCGCCTCCTTCCTTAGCTCTATTTTTTTCCTTCAAAGACTGATCAATCTTCTTAATTGCATTCTTCAAGTCTGAAAATCCCATTTTTATTTGAATAAATATCAATTGGTTAGAAAGAAAATAATATAAAGATTTTAGCTTTTACGTGTAAAGTTTGAAATTTATTTGATTCGACTTTATATACCGGTATGGGCTTCTTTCCGCTTAATTCAAGAATTTACTTGCTTATAAGCCAATAGAAGTGATTATCGCACCTGCTTTCAATATTGAATCCATTGACTTCAACTTAGACGAAGGTGTTCCGGCATTATTCCTCCTGTGCTGAAAAGAGGTCTCTTCAATTAGAAGGATTTAAACTACTTCGATTTTGTCGTTGTCAACACGACATTTAATCATAATGTCGAAACCATTAAAGTAACTAGTAATAATCTTACCTTATATCTAGAAAACTTTCAAAGAGAAAAGAAAGTTCTCTCAACTGATTTACAATCTAAGGTGGCATTATCGAGACGAGTTACCTAAATTGAATTAATGCATACGCTAATAATTCATTAAACCTTATCTCTATTTTTCGACCCCATACTTTGGGAATTAGCGGCACTTCCGAATTAGGCAGTTCCATTATTACATATATATCTATATATATATATATGCTAATTATGCAAATGGATTTTAACGAAAATATAGAAGCTAGACAAGATGAAAGTATTAAATATTCCGATTATATTATTTATTGCAGCTACTACCACTGCCAATCAACTTCATTCGGATCCATTTAGTGACAATGTAGTTTACTTTGATACACATTTGGCAGACAAAGAACCCAATTTGAAAGACATGTGGGATGACTTATGGCCATTTCAAGGAATAAATACCTTTGCCCATTTAGAACATAATAAATGCCTACTTGATCCTGACCAAGAATACGATATCGGAATTATTGGTGTACCTTTCGATACAGCTACTTCATATAGACCAGGGGCAAGATTTGGCCCAAGAGCAATTAGGTCAGCTTCTCAAAGACAAACATCACTTAGAGGATATAACCAAAGAGCAGATTTTAACCCTTATACGTCATGGGCAAAAGTTATCGATTGTGGAGATATGCCTGTTACGCCAATGGATAATTCACTAGCTTTTAAACAAATGAATAAAGGGTTTGAAGAATTAATAGCACGTCGTAATTCTAAAAACTCTACAGTAACTCCACCACGATATATTGCCTTAGGGGGTGATCATTCTGTATTATTACCACATTTACGTGCGCTACATGAAGTGTATGGAAAAATTAATATACTTCACTTTGATGCCCACTTAGATACCTGGGGTCCAGATAAATATCCATCGTTCTGGCATTCCAAACAAGCTGAGCTTAATCATGGCTCAATGTTATGGAAAGCCAACAAGGAATGTCTTACAAGTGAACATAATGTTCATGCTGGCGTGAGAACTAAGTTATCCGGAATCGAAGACTATGTCGATGATGACAACCAAAATTTTACAAGGATCACGGCAGACGATATATGGATAAAAGGGGTACAATATGTCGTTGATAAGATTTTGGAAACTATTCCCCCAGACACCCCTACATATTTATCGGTTGATATAGATGTTTTGGATCCAGCATTTGGAAGTGGAACGGGAACTCAAGAGCCAGGTGGGTGGTTACCAAGAGAATTAATACATGTTTTAAGATCTATCGAAAACTTAAGTATTGTCGGTGCTGATATAGTTGAAGTTTCACCTGCATTCGATACTGCTGAAATTACTGCCACTAATGGAGCGCAGGTAGTGTTCGAAATTTTGACAAGTATGGTTAAAAAAGGAAATGTGGGCCATTTGGTGAAAAATAATAACCCAAAAGAGTTGTTAGAAGTTAAGTCCAAAAATGATGGAAAATCAACCCAATACCTTGATAAGCAAGAGATTAATAGATTGATTGAAAATAAGTTGCAAGAGTTTGAAGACTTAAAATACAACTTATTAAGTGAAATTGAAGAGTTACGGTCAACATGATGTCTTTCTATGTAAAATATGAGGATAAAAGTTTTTAGAAAAATGTATATCAATTAGTAGTCTGTATAATAAACAACACACTAAATTAAACGAAACTAAATAAAACGAAACTAATGGGAACTAAGTACTGCAGAACATTAAAGGTATTAAGTTGCATGTTTCTTCTTAGAATCTATGGAAAAATGAAATGGTTTACCCAGCCACAGAAACGAAGCAAGGTATAAATGCTCTGATAGCGGGATAATAAAGTAGAATGATATCAATTGCTTAAACAACCAATAACATACCAGCAGCAACAGCACCAGCAATACCAAAGTTCATTCCGTTCATAATAGCACCATTCTCTACAGAGCTAACACCCCCAGTTGAGTTGGAAGAGCCTGTGCCGGTACCATTTACTGCAGTACCATTACCAGCAGTACCGTTGGTTGCTGCCTTGTTATAAAGAGCGTTCCTGGCTTCACCAGATGGGTTCACCCAGACGGTGGTAGTAACAGGATTTTTGGTCTTGTCGAATCTACCATCCTTATGAGTACCAGAGCTGCTTGGGGAAGTAGCTGGCTTGGTCTTGTCAAATCTACCATCCTTATGAGTAC